TCCTGAGCTTTTTGATTTGCATCTGCTCTGATCTCCATTGTTGTTCGGATTTCTTAATCTCTGAGCCTGAGTCTCAAGTATGGGCCCACTGTAAGTGCTCAGTTAGTATTGGTTCCTTTCCATCTGAAACTCAGACTTCGTCATTCCATCTTTTCCTTTCACTTCCTACTTTATTTTAGAACAAGGCCTCATCCTAGCCCTTGGGTGCCTCCTGTGACATGGCCTCCTTCAAAACAGTGTGCTGCTCCTGTTTTGCTGTCCTGACTCCTCTCTCTCTCTTTTAAAATTAGTGCTTATTTTTGGGCACTGGTACCTCACGCCTGTAATCCTAGCTATTTGAAAGGCGGAGATCAGGAGGACTGCAGTTCGGAGTTAGCCCTAGGCAAATAGTTTTTAAGACCCTATCTCGAAAATACACATCCTAAAAAAGGGCTGGTGGAGTGGCTCCAGTGGTAGAGCACCTACCTAGCAAGTGTGAGGCCCTGAGTTCAAACCCCAGTACTGCCCACCCCCCCAAAAATTGAGTACATATTAATTGTGCAAAGCGGTCTCATTATGATAGCTGACTCTTCAAGCCCCACCTATTTCCATCTGTTCCTTCGCTAGCTTGGACACAAGTGTATCACCTGCGTCTGTCTGCTTTAAGTCTCAGCTTGAATTCTACCTCTGCTCAGAGGCCATTCCTGTCCCTGCCTGGGGGATCACTTCCTCTGCAGCACTTTCATCTCTCCTGCCCTGGTACTATTCTACTTGCTCATCCTCTGCTTTCAACTCCTGTGGGCTGCAGGACTGAGCGTCCCTTGATTGCATGGAATGTTATAGCATTAAGCGACAACGAACTCTTTGCCTTATGTAACAAATGCCTCATACTTCCAACAAACCTGCCCAGGCACGCTTCTTCCATTCCACTAAACCGGCTTCTCTCCTAACCTGCTTCCCAGAAATAAAAGTTGCACAGGGAGGCAGGTCGGTGAAAGGCATGCTCTAATGAGCACCAAATTCTGGAGCCTAAAATTATAGGAGAGTATTGTTTATTATAGGTGCAAATATTATTCACTCTTTTCATGAATCCCAGGAAACCCATGCATCTGAAATCACTTGTTGATTTTGTTTACTTTCCAGGCCTCAGGAGCCATTGTTCCTCTTGTGTAGAAATGTCTTGATCACACAAGCAAATCCCTGGGAATATCTTAAGATTCTTCTTTGTTGTTCATGAACCAGTCTCTTTAACAGAGAGTTAATGGCTATGCAGCAAAGGCACTCAGAAACACGGAGCTTTTGTGAAGAGAAAAAGAAACAAGTGTTCATTGAGCACTAGGCCAGTATTTTTAAATTGTCTTTTGTTCTTTTTTTTTCTTTTTTTGGCAGTACGGGGGTTTGAACTCAGGACCTCATGCTTGCTAGGTAGGTGCTCTACCACTTGAGCCACTCCACCAGCCTTTTTTTAATGTTGGGTATTTCTGAGATAGGGTTTCCCAAACTGTTTGCCTCAGGGCTGGCCTCAAACTGCCATCCTCCTGATGTCTGCCTCCTGAGTAGCTAGGATTCCAAGTGTGAGCCACCAGATGCCTGGCTGTCTTTTATTCTTAAAGTAAATAGTGACTCAGTTTTTTATTAGCATCTTAACATCAAGTTATATGTCTGAGATATTTAAGAAAGGTATTTATCTGTAGGCAAGGTATATGTGCGCATGTTTATCACCCCTCTTCTACTTTAAGAAGCTAGGCTTGGTTTTATTATTGAGCACTAAGAAGCTCACATTGGTAATATTAGAGCAAAGTACAATTTTCAGAAAGTTTTTACTCATAAAAAACCCAGAAGTCAAAGGTTTGTGTGTGTGTGTGTGTGTGTGTGTGTGTGTGTGTGACTGGATTAATGAGGACATCAGGAAGATGTTGAGACTTGCTCAGATCAGCAACCCTGAGATGTGCAGTTAGTTCGTCAAAGGTGTGCAGAAATACATTCACGAACCAATGCAAAACTGGTAAAGGGAGCACCCAGTAGTAACGTCTGCAGTGCTAGGGGACAAGACCCTCTGCTTTGCCACTACACTTCTATGTTAGCCTCTGAGACAGGGTCCCCCTAGGCAGACCAGGCTGGCCTGGAACTCTCCATCCTCCTGCCTCAGCCTCCTGAGTGCTGGGATTACAGTCATGAACCACCATGCTCAGACCTCTATTGTTGCAAGTCTGCCTTCATCACCAGCCAGCGGAAGGTACACAGCCCTAGAAGGTCAGAGGCAACTTCAGGCTACACACAGAAAAGGTACTCTGTATTCTTTTACCCATTTCCAAGTTTTGTATACTTGACACTGTTATGTACAAGAGCTGTGAAAACAAACCACTTTGCTTTTTCCTACAGTATCTTCGTAATTCTATAAAGTTAACACATACCAGTGAACCAAAACCTGCCCCTCCCTTATCCCTGTCCGCAGTGTTTCATTATGGGCTCTGGAGTCAGACTACTTGGGTTTCAAGTAGTCTGCTTTCCTAGTTTTGCTGAGTGACCTTGGTCAAATTACTTCATCTCTCTGTGCCTTAGCTTCACTGCTGCAAAAGAGGATTAAGTAATAGCACTTCTGTGGCTGTGTTATGAGGATTAAATGAGTGTTCGATAACTGAGTCATGTTACTAAGAAAAGGTTCGTTAGTCTGCCAAAGTCTTGACATTACAATGGTTTGAGAAATAACCCATCCTACATCTCTTAATTAAAAAGGGACATGCAGCAGAAGCAACAATAACTAAATTCTTGAAATGAGCCAATTCGAAAACTAGTTAATAAATTTGTTTAAGAAATTACAATAAATTCTAGTTGTGTCAAAAAGCCGATTTACTTCTTCCAACGCAGATGTCAGAGGAACAAAAATGCACAGAGCGACTGGGTGCGGCCGTCAACCCTGGTTAGGGTGTCCCAGGCACTGCACTCACTCACACGCGTCACCCACCAACACACAGGTATTTTCAAAAAAACCACAACCGTTTTTCCTTGCATAAGGAGACGTGTTATAGAATGTGAAGTGGGAAGAGAAAACCAGCACGAGGAAAACAGGTCGATTCCTTAGAAAGTGGGTCACCAGCCAGCCAGACAGCAGAAGCAGTGGTTCAAAGAGCATTTCAGCTTTAATCGTTTATTCTGCATAATGAAAAAGAAAAAAGAACAAATATTCTCTGAATTTTAAATATTTACCAATACACTGCTGGTAACATCTGCCCTTTCACTAGACACTGTTATTATTACTTTGTCCATAAGATGCTGAGGATAATGAATAAGTATACATTTTATTAAATATACTCACACCTGGTACAGGCAGATGTACTCATTTTATCTTTGTCCACCCAAATCTTGGCTTACACACCCATAAATTAAAAATCACCCACAGTGGAGTGGACCACTGAAAACCTGTTGATAAGGACAGGCAATTAAGTGTCAAGTTCAGAATTGGACAGGAAATAGCTATAAACCAAAATGGAAAGACAAGTGACAATTCATGTCAAAGCCTGGCTATATTTTAATCTACTCAAGCATGAGAAAAGCATTTTCCTAATTTTTTTCTTGATTAAAAAAATTTTTTTTTGGTATCCCAGGGTTTAAACTCAGAGCCTTGCTAGGCAGGCACTGTACCACTTGAGTCACTCCACCAGCCCAAATAACTTTTCAGATAGGGTCTCAAGTTTTTGCCTGGGCTAGCCTGGACAGCGGTACTTCTTATGCCTCCCTTGTAGCTGGGGTTACAGGCATAGACCACCACACCAGGCTTATTTGTCGAGATGGGGTTTTGCTAACATTTTCCTCCTGGAGCTGGCTTTGAGCCGTGATCGTCCCAATCTCCACCTTCCTAGTAGCTGGGATTATAGAAGTGAACCCCTGCACTCAGTTGAATTTTTTTTTTTTGTGGTATTGGGGCTTCAACTCAGGGCCTACACCTTGAGCCACTCCACCAGCCCTTTTTCGTGATGGGTTTTTTTCAAGGTAGGATCTCATGAACTATTTGCCTGGGCTGGCTTGGAACCTCAAAACTCCTGATCTCTGCCTCCTATGTAGCTAGGATTATAGGTGTGAGCTACCAGCACCCAGCTTGAAATGTTGGTTTTAAGGGGACATCGCCAGGTTAAACTGAACACAAAAGAGAATTTCCCTACAGAAGTTCTCTGAACCAAAGCAAAATCAAGTTATGCTTGAAAATCAAAAGCAAAGGCCAATGGCTCTCTCTTGCCCCCACCTTCAGATTTCCTTTAGTGAAGGTTGTTCTGCTGATGGTCACTTGCTGCTACCACGCGCTGCTGTCTCAACATAGCCAAATCTGGATGTGACCCTCCACGCCTGAGGGGGCTGATGAATGGGACCCTTCTCTCCAGTCTCTTGAGAGCTGGGAAGTTGTGTCTTGGAAGCACTTGAACATCTGTAGACCTCCAGTCTACCGAGCCCCAGACTAAAGAGACATTCATGTCTTATGAAAAGGATAATATTTATGGCCACTACTAAAAATGATTTCTTCTTTTAATATCCAGAGGCACTATGATTTAAATAAGCAAAACTGAAAATGATTTGTCACAGTATTCCGTATGTTGAATTTGGGATATTTTCTTTCTTCTCTTACGCAGTACTGGGGACTGAACTCACAGCTTCTTGTGCATACCAGGAAGCCCAGGAAGCGCTCTACCACTTTAACCATGTCCCCAGCCAAATGTTGAAATTTTTATGCAAAAAACCTGCAAAATAGAACAATGCTGATCTAGCTTTTAAAAAGGGTTCTAAAAAAAAGCTGTACATGAGTTCATTACTAAACTGAATACTTATTATTAGGAAGGAAAAAAAGCAAAATTTGCAAATGTAGCTAGAAAATAAAGAAATACTCTAAATTTGCAACTGCATGCATCTTTAGTTCCTTTATCAAAGATTCTTAGATGGCAAAAATTTGTTAAAAAATGTGAGAAAAGTAAATCCTTGGTGGATATACTGAAAGCTTTGCTCAACAGAAAAGCATTACAGTAGCCGTGATTAGTTGGAGGGTTCTCTGCCTGTGCTGACCATTTCAGTTCATTAGGAATTGTCGGGCATAATTCAAACACTCCCGAGGCAGTGTCTGCGTCCGGTGGGCACAGCAGCAAGTGGCAGACCTTGAGAGCTGACAGACCCTGGAAGTCAACACATTTAATGCTGCATCTAGGTTGTACTAGGCAGCAGACTGTTTAAAATGGGAGCTTTCAGAAGAGCTCAGTTTTGAAAACTTAACTTGGAATGAAACTCCTACCATAGAATGTACTAAGTTAAAATTTATGTTTTATAAACAATGATAAAAAGCAAGAGGAATTATACAAGAAAACAGAAATTATATACTGTGAGCAGAAGGGGACGAGGGTGAAGAAATACCATCACCATCCCAAGCAGCCTAATTTAAAGTCCTCTGAACCAGGACTGAGCTCTTGAACAAAGCAGGAAGTACAAAAAGTGGAAGACCAGCATTAATGCTATAATCCTCCAACAGCTTTGTGCTCTTTTCTGGAAGGTGTATTTTTATCCCTGGGACAAAATTAGTAGCACAAATCCTTACTCTCCAGTAAACGGATTTCCACTTCTTGTTCTTACCCCTGTTCTTCACATCACCTGACACTGTTCTGTGGGAACCAGACACTGTTCTGTGGGTTCTTGATGCCCTCCAATTCATTTTTGTCCTTTTCTAAAGGCCATACAGCCAACTGCCTTCCATAGCTGAAGTTTCTGTTTCCAGGGGTTTGACCAACCACGGGTGAACATTTGGAAGAAAACTCAATTGAATCTGTACTGAGCACATACAGACTTTCTTCTGGTCATTACTCCCTACACAGTGCAGTCTGACAATTACACAGCGTTTACAGTGCATTAGGTATTCTAAGTCACCTAGTGATGACATAAGTACACAGAAGATGCACACAGGTTCTGTGCAAACACTGTGCCATGTTACATAGGGGACGTGAGCATTGCAGGTTCTGTACTGTGGGGGGGTCCTGGAACTGGTCTTCAAGGAAACCAAGAGACAGCTGTGCTGCTAAGTACTAATAAATCAAAGTGACAAAATAAGAGGTCCAGTTAAAAATGTTTTTGTTAAAGTTGAAGACAATTTTTGTTACAAGGTTCACTTTCTATCAGTTAAGCGTAAGAAACCAAAAACTAGCTGACAGGGACAAAATATGACACTAGGTGAATGGCTAGCAGAATGGATGCTGATGGCAGCTCTGAGGTAGAAAATTGACTGCTTATTGCTACATATGTGAATGGCTATTTCATAGAGTTTAAATATCAAAGGTGAAACACTGCACAGAGATGGCAATGACTATCCTAGTTCACTTCAGTAAAGAGCCAACCTGAGTCCATCAGGTGGCTCAGGAGAGATTAGTTTATCAATTTTTACATATATTTCTTTTGAAACTATATATTCTATGCGCTGAATTTACGTTTAGCTATAATCCTTTTATTTCATCTTGAAGGAGAGAAAAGCAAACGTTAAAGGCGTCATGGGCCACTCCTTTCTTCATTTGTGTCCTCACGCAGGGCGGGAAGCAGCCCTCTGCACGGGACGTGCCAGCACGTGTGCTGGGGTCGTAGGCTAGTGAGGAGATGGGGAGAAGTCTTGTGAGACTGTGACTCCTTGTTTGGGCTTAGAGACCTTTGGGATTTAAGAGGTTGGATATCTGTAAAAACAGAATTCTAAGGGCTCCTTCATCTGCACAATCCAATTTTGTCAGCAAGTAATTCATTTTATGTCTTAAAAACCCTGGTTGTGAACAACCAAGTCACAGGATGTGCTATATATGTGTGGGTGAACAGGAGACTAGCTGGCTAGTTTTAAATTAGTGATAGGAAAGCTCCACCAGTTACTGGTGGAATATGTGGTGCAGAGAACTGGCCAGGAGTGGCAGCCGGGTTCCTCCTTGGGTCAGAAAGCCCTGAGGAGACTGTGGGCCCAACCGTGATAGAATGTTCTAGCAGTTTGTGTGGGAAACACAGGCTTTTGCCTGCTAGAAACACTAGCAGAAGCTCTGCGAGCCCTGACATAGCGCAATTCAAATGGAATACAGCAAACCTGGCACAGAGGGTGTAGGAAGTGAAGAAATTGGGCGTGGGGACGTTAACAAGACACCGAAACGCAATGTTAAGGAGTCCTGGCTTCTGGTCCCATGGCCTCAGAGACAGAGAGCACAATCCTTAAAGCACTGGCAAAGAATAAGTCAACCAAGCAAAGAATCAGAAACGATCCAGTGTCACTGGCCAAGAGCAGATGGAAAGCCAGTCACCAAATGAGCCCCGGCCAGCTCTGTTCACTTTGTCACTTTGCCTTTAGCCACGGCCTCTGCGTAGGTGGTGTGCATGAAGTCATGAAGCTGCTTGGCGTTCCCCGCGTGCCCCAGGATGCTCTCGAGCTTGTCCTGTGAGAGTGTGGCTAGCTCTGCAATGTTCTTAACGTGGTTCATGAGGGAGCGGCAGTTTTTGGCATTGACACCCGGCATTTTTAACAAGAAGTCCTGGGGACCAGGGTTGTACTTTTCTGACTCGGGGAGGGTTTCGGAATCTGCTGTAATGGCCATGGCTGTGGCTGAGTCGGGTTGGGGCTTATTTTGTTTCAGTTCCTCAAACAACTCTGCAGTGGCGTGCGGGGAAGGGCACCAGAGGAGCCGGAGTCTGGGGAAGTGAAGTGTGAGGAGGGTGAGTTTGGAGCTGATGTCGTTGCTGGAGATCTCCTGGAACAAGGCACCTCGGGACGTGAGAGAGAAAGGCTTGCTGGGATCGAACTCAATGAGCAGCATGGGGCGCTTGTAGTAACGAGCCATGGACACACACTGGCTGTACAGGCGGCCGTTGTTCAGGGAGCCGATCAGGTCACTGATGCTCTTGCGCTCCACGCACATTTCTGGCGTCAGGATGTAATCTCCAACCTCTAATGTCACAGGGTCGATATCGATGCCCCGGCGGTGGATCAGGGATGGGAGCTCACTTCGAAATTCACGCATGTCCACGACTATGCTTTGCTGTGTTCTGTTCTGTTCCTGGCCGCCTGCAAAGGAAGTAGCAGTGTAAGTCTTGTCTCCGGGGAGAACGCCCGAAGCTGAAGTATGACTAGGTTTAAAGCTGTTTCTGCTGCTACCTTCTGATGGTGCGGTATTATGCCACAATTTCTATCTTTTCAAAAAATATTACTTATAATGAAAGCTGCAGTCATCTCCCTTAAATTAAATGGAACTAATAGGAAAGTCAGACTCTCTCGCTAGCTAATGACTTACAATGACTCATAAACACAACGCATTGCTCTGGTCTGCCCTCCATGGTCCCCTGTCCCATCACTGCTGCACTGACTCCCAAGTCTTAGGACAGAGCCTGGGACATGGCAGACACTGCACTGATCTCCACAGCTCTAGAGATGGGAGAGAAAAGCTAGGAAAAGCAGGAACCCAACTTCTCACGCGCCGATGTGCACACAGAGGACCTGGGATTGTGACAAAAAGCAGCTTCTCTACTTACTAGGTTTGGACCTAAGGGGTGAAGACCTTTACACTGGTAACAAAAGCCCAGATAATGTCAGTGCTGTTGGTTGAAGTATCAAGGGCAGAACATGACTCCCCAAAGATGCCCATGCCCCAGGCCTTGCAACCTGGAAATACGTTACCTGACATGGTGAGAGGCACTTCACAAACATGACTAAGTTAAGCTTCTGAGGCGGAGAGATTTTGCTGGTTTATCGGTGTTAGGGTTTGGTATGAACCATCCATAAAGGTTCACGTGTTGAAGGCTTGAACCTGCAGTAGTGTTCAGAGGTGACTGGATCACAAAGGCCCTAATTTCATCAACTTACCACTCCATTGATGAATTCATGGCCTGATGGACTGTAGGGAGGTGGAACCTAATTAGAGGAGGTAGGTCACTGGGGTGTGCTGCTGAAGGGTATATCCTGTCTCTATCCCTTGCTTTTCCTCTCTGCCTTCTGGCTGCCTTGAGTTGAACAGTTATGTTCTGTCACGCCCTTATGCCACGATGCTCTGCCTCACCACAGGCCCAGAAAAAATGGAACCAGCCAGCTGATCGTGGACTGAACCCTCTAATACTGTGACCCTAAATAACTTCTTCCTCCCATAAATTGTGTTGTCAGGTATTTTGTCACAGCGATGAAAAACTGACTCAAGCACTTGGGTAGGCCCAAGGGTCTTCAGAAGTGAGAGGGAGGCAGAAGGCTCAGAGGAGAGAGAAGAGACTATGCTATAGTGGAGGAAGGGCCATGAGCTAAGGAATGTAGGCAGTCTCTAGGTGCTGGAGAAAACAGCTTCTCCTTTGGGAACAGAGCCTTTTGATACCTTGATGCTAGCCTAGAGACACTCACTTGGAATTCTATCCTTCCTGTAGAACTGTAAGATAGTAAGTGTGTAATTTGTTACAGCAGCAACAGGAAAGTCATACTGACCTATAAAGGGAAGACGCTTGTTGAAGGGCTTTGTGTGATACCCACATGTTCAAATCTATCTTCTTACAGACTGCTTACACTCTGCAGTTCTTCAAGAAATGTCACCAACTGAGTTAAGATATTCTTTAAAAACGGCATGGATGCTCTGAGGCAGTGTTTCCCAAAGTATGGTCCAAGGACCATTTTCATTAGAAGCCCCTGAAATGCTGACACATTTCACATCTACTGAGTCAGAATTTCTCTCATCAAAGCCCACGAGTCTACAGTTATTTATTTTTATTTGGCGATATTGGGGTTTGATCTCACGGTCTTGGGCTCGCTAGGGACGCACTGCACCACTTGAGCCATGTTCCCAGCCCTTTTTGCTTTTGTTATTTTTTGACTAGGGTCTTATTTTATGCCTGGGCTGGCCTGGACCACGATCCTTCTATTTCTGCTTCCTTTATAGCTAGAATAGGCACGTGCCACCATGCCCAGCTTTTTTGTTGAAAAAAGCTAATCTTTTTGTCTGGGTTGGTCTCAAACTCTGCTCTTCTCGATTTCTACCTCTGGAATAGCTAGGATTGTAGGTGTGAGCCACTGTGTCCTATTGAGTCTACAGTTTTAACAAACACCTGAGACCTAGCGCTCTAACTGGACTTGACCTCATCAGAGGTTAAATCAACTTAAACCTGTGTTTTTCTTATGCTGCTTGGCTAGTTCCAGCTGCTGCCCTGGGAGAGTGAGAAAATGGTTAGCTCTGATCAAGGGGCACCCGGTATCCAGTGGGCTTTGGTGTGATGCTGCAGTGAGAATGCCAGACACATGGGCTCTGGAGAGACACCACGAGAAGTAACAAATGTGTATAGGAAGAGAGTGGGAACAGATACATCCTAAATAATTCCCATCCATGTTCATATCCAAGAGGAGAGGCAGAAGGAAGGAGAAAACCTCCTTCAGCTACTCAGTGCGTCAAATGGCTTCTTGGGGTCAGGATAAGAACCTAATCTGCATTTACCAAAGTTTCTTTGGAAAAGTGCATTTTGAATCTCAACCAAGCAATTTTTTTTTTTTTTAAAAACTCAGGGCCTTGTACTCACAAGGCAAGCACTTTACCATTGAGCCATGCCTCTAGTCCTTTTTGCTTTAGTTTATTTTTCATATAGAGTCTCTTGATTTTGCCTGTCCCTGGCCTCAGACTATGATCCTCCTACTTCTACCTCCTACCTAGTTGGTATTATAGGTGTGCACCCCCAGGACTAGTTTGTTTTTTTGAAATAGTGCTTGATAACTTTTGACCAGGCTGGCCTCAAACCCATGTAGCTGGGATTAACAGATCCAAGTGAACCACCATGCCTGGCCCTCAACCAACCAACTTTAAATCCAACAATGGAAAATAAGTCATTCTAAGCTGGGGTGCCTAGAAGTTTACCCCATCTGTACATGACATAGCACCTGTGTTCCGGCAGAGATGACATCTTCTCCCAGCTCCATCTCTTGTTTTAAACCTCACAGCTTCCCTTACAGGCAACAGGCGTGGTTGGCCAAGGGCGGGACTCACCAGCTTTGCGAGTGTCAGTGGGAGCACTTGTCAATGCTGAGCCTCGTGCCAAGTCCAGATTGGTTTCATCTCTGCCTTCTCTTTCTTCAGGGATGACCATGCTAGCTTTTTCCCTGGGAGAGGAAACATCTTAAACATTTCCTGAATTAATTTCAAAATACTAGAGCCTAATCTTTTGGAAATTTTAGTATCTGAAAACGATCTACACAACCATATTAGTAAAGAGAATACAAGGTATGTATTAGAAGTAAATCTGTAAAGACAGGTGGTGGGGAAAGGAAGCAGGAAGAATCTCTTGGCCTGGTGTTCATCCTGATCCTCCAGAGTTAACAAAAGTCCTTTAGTTTTTACTCGACATGTAAAATGTTACAGAGGTTACTTGAGACTGTTTGTAGGCAGTAGTGTTATTAGCATTTACAGTAATTTAAATAATTTCTGTTCAAATATTTTAGGTAATCATAAATAGGGAAAGTTAAAGAATCAACAGTTAAGAAAAGGAAGTATGCACAACAGAAACTGATTTAAAATTCTCCAGGCTGGAGGCCCCATTAAACACCCTCAAGTTTTTCTTTTTGGCAGTACTGGGGTTTGAACTCAGAGCTTCACCTTTGCTAGGCAGGTGTTCTACCACTTGAGCCACCCCACCAGCCCCTTCTCCCCTTTTTAAATTGGCGTAAATTAACTGTATAAAAAGGGTTTCATTTTGCTATTCCATACATGAATAAAATATACTTTGGTCAAATTCACCTTCTCTATTACTATCTGATCCCCCTTTCTCCTCTCTTCCATTTTAAACAGGTTTTAGTGGATTTCATGATGCTATCTGTATTCATATACATATATATGTACATGTATCTCTTTATACTTTGATCATATTCACTGCCTTTACTACCATTACTATCTGCTTTTCCTCTCACCTCCTACCGGTTCCCTCATCAACAGTCTCCTTTTACAATCATGTATTATTATTCTTATTGTCTAGATTCCACATATGAGAGAAAACATGTGATATGTGCCTCTGAGCTTGTCTTGTCTTGCTCAACACGCAAACCCCCTCAATTTTAAAGGATAAACAAGGTGAATGTTAGGAGATTAAAAGAGAAAGTGAGCCTCTCAGGATAGGCCTTGGGAGGCCTCACCTAGGATTTCCCTTAAAAACACTCCTGCAGTGCTCATGTGCTGAGCTAGAAACAGAATACTGTGATAGTTCTTGTCTTCAAGGTGGCGCAATCAGTACCTCAGACCCGGTAGCTCTAGAGGACCAGGCAATTGTAACTACTACTCAGAGCTATATCAAGACAAGTTCCTCCATAGTTACAGAGTAGCTGGGTTTGCTGGGTCTTATTTTTGAAAACCAGTGAAGTCTGTGACAATTAATTCATGAAACAGCAAGCACGATGTGCCCAGTGTGCCTGGACCATTAGGGAAGATGTACGAGCTGGGACCCCTTCCCTCCTGGGGTTTATAGCTGAGCCAAGGAAACAAAGCAGTCATGAGAAAAGCTGTGGAACAGAGCAACTGCGTAAGAGTCTGGGGTAAGGAAAGGCAGAGGAGGACCCGCCAGTATTAAGTGATTTCAATAAGCAACTGGCACGAATTCCCCATGGAAGGGAACTGAACTGGGCAGACCAATTCTTCACCCACTTTGCAAATGGTGTTTTAGAGCAGAATAGTACTTAAAAATACCACTAAAGATCAAACGTTATAATTGTCTGTGTGTGTGTGCTCGGGCTGAAACCCAGGGTCTTACGCATGCTAGGCAAATGCTTGATCACTCAGAATTATAATTTTAAATCCCATGCTATCTGAAAGAACTTACAAATGCAAAGTTATAATTAGTACAATGTAAGCAGATACAGTGGTCCCGTTCTGTTTTCCCTGTTATTCTGAAGGCCAGTGCCGAGGGCTCCCTGCTGAAGACCCTCTGCCTGGCAGCGGCCCTGGTGGTCACACACTGCCTCTCCATCACTCCACCGTACTCAGTTAGGACAAAGGGAAAACCACTCAACAACTTTACTGCTCTTCAATTTTTTTTTAACACTTGGGAATATTTGTTTTTTCTCTTTATTTCTGCTTATTTTACCTGCTAAACCATATACCACACCCGAAGCCATCCCAGCTTCCTGATTAATCTTCTGTCTGTGAGTTAGGGTAAAGATTCGGGTTCCATAGTGTGTGGACCTGAAACCACTTCCTGGCTGTGTGGCTTAAGGCCAGTCATTAAGTGGTCCTGTGCCTCAATTTCTTCATCCGTAAAATAGGGATGATAATAAGACCTACTTCAAGAGATTGTTGCAAGGACTACATGATGTATGGAAGGCAATCAGAACAGTGCCTGCCACATAATTGCTCCATAAAGAATAGCTATATTATTACTGTGTTTTTCTTCAAGGTGGTAACCTTATCTCCTAATCATCCAGGAGTAGACTAAAAAACTAAAGATATGCCTTCAAATGATATCATGATGGTTTTGATTTCTGAGAAAAAATATACTCCAGAAATGCAAGCTGGACTATAAAGAAAGTAAGCCAGGAGTTCCTAAATAACTCAAATTAATTTAACAGAACTTTGCCATCATTATAAATATTCAGTTCCATCTTCACCATTCAGCAGAATTATCCACGATACTCTATGTGGCAGAGACAAAATAACCAAAGAAAATTCAGATTCCTTGAGCCACTTAACCTAAAATCTTAGCTTTCTTTTTTTGCTTTAATATTTTCAGTGAATTTTTTTTTTTTTTTTTTTTTTGAGCTACACAGGGTCTCACTGTGTAGCTCAGGCTGGTCTTGAACTCATGATCTTCCTGCCTTTCCCTCCTGGGTGTTGGGATTTTCAATGACATTTGAATAGCTTGTACACACTGTGACAGGGGAAGGAGGCATTGCACTGAAGTCTCTTCAAATGGTCACTTATGCAAGCCCTCTTTTATGATCAGATTTTCCAGCAGTGAAATTTCAAATAATTTACCCCTTCCTTTGAAAAGCAGTGACCTCCTCAAGAGCATGTATGCTGCAGATCTCAGCACGGTCAGGGAGTGTTTTATTATCGATGCTTACTAGTGTGATATGTTTTCTCTTGTCATCTGTAATCTACTGATCTTTACTTGAGTTAGGCCATCCTTTCGCTGCCAGTTCGCCTGATTCATTCCTTCTTGGTTATTTGAAATAGTAGCACTGCTTTTGTTCTTGCGACATCACCCGTGGAGGTCTTGGCAGAAGCACATTGTCTTATTTTCACGTTAAATTTTCTTTTAAGTACAGACACAGTGCAAATGTGCTTTCAGCAACGTACCCCCATTTTGTTTAAAACCCTCTCAAATTCCCCCAGTTTTCTGGGAAAATAAATACCTGAGGTTCTAAGTAGTGTAGCCATCTGATTGCTGTAATTTAGAAAAAATGATGCCAGTCCTTACATTATTGTATTGGCTGAAGTTGGGTTCTGCAGAGTGAGGGAGGTTTCCGATGTACTCACAGTACTCAGGGCTCACCCCAAGCTGTCACTGAGCCCTGGATGCAGAGAAATCACAGGCATAGACCAGGAGCAGCAGGGGGTCCCCAATTCCTTACCACTGCCTACTCAAAGGGCTGTTCTCTAGATTGGGCTCTGTCATGAACCAGAGAAGAGGCAGCTGCAAGACAGAAGTGTGCAGCATAAACTCAGGGCCTGGGTGTCGCCCTCCTCACATCTCCCAGGCCCCCAGCACAGCACAGTGCAGGGAAAGGCTAACTCCACCGGCCACAGTTGTTCCAACTCTGTGCATTTCCAAGAAAGGTCTATGTCCTCAGGCCCTTGGCCAGCTCCTGGAGATATTGTGCCTGGTAAGAGGGTTTTTGTGTGCCCGAGGCCTTGGGCCCTGCTCCAAGTTTGATCAATTTATGCTAACAATGTGATTTATGCTGAATGCCAGATTTTGCTCAGGAGGGTGGGGGTGGGGTGGGGTGGGAGTGGGGGTAGGATGACGCCAGTCATGTGGGTGCTCTGGGTCTATGTGAGTGAGCCCCAATGAACTCAAGGCTCAGTGAGTCCCCTGTTGCCGACATTTTCCATGCACTGTCACAGAAGGCTGATGGAGACTTAAGCACATGTGTGACTCTATGGGCTGACAACATCTGCACCCCATGTGCCTCCTCCCTTTGCTGATCTTGATCTGTGTCCTGCTGCTGCAGTAAACCTTATGGACAGTGCTTCTGACTCATGTGAGTCCTTCTAAGTTCTAAGTGAATCACCGAGTTGAGGGTGGTGGCCTTGGGGACTCCTGACATGAATATCAATAACCTAATCTGAGTATTTTAGCTCTAGGCATTCATTTGTAATTTGGTGACAATTAACTTTAATCACAGAACACTTTGGCAAAGGATATTTTAAAAACAGTGAAAGAAGGGTTAGGAGGTAACTAGCCCACATCTAATGTCACCAGTGCTATGACTCTGTCTTCTAAATATCCCCTAAATCTGCCCTCTTCTCTCCACTGACTTCATCTTGGCTGCCACCTGCTCCCATGAGACAACTGCGATGGCTAGACACCCCCAGTTCCATGTCACAGGAAGCCGTTAAAACAAACTGAACTCGAATGCCCAGTGAGAATGCAAACAGCAGTGCTGTCCAGTTCCTTAAAGTCCTAAATCCTTAACGGTCTCTTGTACTTCTGAGTCTCCCTACACACCTTTGCTCAGTGTGACCCCATTCCCACCCCATCTTCCCAGTAGCTCCCATACATTTCTTAAGAGCCAGCTTGAACACCTCTTTCTCCATGGAGTCGTTCCTGGCCAGCTCTGGTCTGGGTTCTGTCCTGTAACACGCTCTGCTACTACACCTTGTTCTTTGGCTGTCGGGGGCGGTGGCACTCTGACATTACTTATTGCAATGCTGTGATCATGATAATCACTAGAGGGGAAGCCAGCGTCAGTAAGGCAAAGACTTGTACTGTATCACAGTAATCTCAGCACTGGAACTGGCAGGACAGATGCTTAATAAACATCTCTTTACTGTCTGTGCATGGGGTGAAGGTCTGCAAGATAGACAGGGGCTGAAAGAGCTTGAATGAGAAGGCTGTATAATAACAACTGTTTCCTTATAATATTGTTCCTGAAATACTTTAAAAAATGCACACGTAGGCTGTGTGAACAATGCCACAGAGCACCTTAGTAGAAAAGCTGTTTTCATAGGCAATACCTATATGACTAATAGCTAGAACTCATGGCTAATGCATGTTACAATTCTAGAAGACTTGAAGGAAAGGCAGGTGCCACCACATACCAGGCCGAGGGCCTCCAGAGGGACCCAATGGCATGGATCCCGCAAACACCCGTTTTCAGGAATGTCTGCCCTGGCTTAAAAAGGGTGCATGTACAGTTCACACACTGAAACCCAGTCAGCCTGGTTGACAGCTGTGCATTCTGAGACTGTCTAGTGCCACAGCCAGGTGAATGACACTCAGAATAATTCCTGCTCTCTCGTTGTGTACTGGCGATGTCTGAGGCCTGGCAGGAAGCAGTCCTGCCCAGTTTCCTCATCAGTCCAGGTCATGTATCGACGCACATCACTCATTCTTCTCCCTGCCCCCTGCCTCTCCCCTTCCTCTCAATCCCCCCGTCCCGCAACTCCCTCCACCCCACCCCTCACTGTCCACGCCAAGTGACTCTTCTTCGTGCGCTCGTACCCCGCGCCCTACTTTTCGTCTTTTTCTATCCAGTCCCACTCTCGATCCCCTCCCCTTCATCTGTCCCTCCTTCTCTGTCTCTCCTTCGACCCCGATTCGCCCATACAACTCCCTCGTGAGTCTCTTACCTCTCCTCCGCCTGGGCTAGGCCTTTCTCTGGCTCAGTGCAGTGATGCCTGGCCCAGCCCTGGCTTTTGTGGCCCCTTGGAGATCATCTGGTCCATTTTCACTACCACTGCAATCTCCCTGAGCAATCCTGGTAGGTGGTTATCACATTTTGGGGACAGGAGGTAGCTGGCCAATTTGTGGCTATCTGATCAATAGTTTTCTTATGTTAAACTGGAAAGCATTTTCTGTTTGGACTTGAACATTACAGATGCGCAGTCTCGCATGCGCGCGCGCGCGCCGCGCACACACACACACACACACACGCGCGCGTTCAGAAAGGCAGTCCACCTTCGAAAAGGTACTTCGCAGAGTGATCTACTGATGGTGCCTGGGTTATACAAGTATTTCCCAGTAGGTGATAAAGTAGCTGCCCACCTCCGGATGGGAGATCTCACAAGGAGGGACCAATACAACTGGAGGGAAGGAGGAGACTTAGGAATGTATTTCTTAGTGAAGTTGTGTTTTTGTTGTATTGCTGATATTTCACATTACAGTTCTTTATGAACAGAAAGGAAGTTTTCTTTATCACACGTCTGATGTGGTTGAACATCCCTAATCTGAAAATCTGAAATCCAAAATGTTCAAAATATTAAACTTTTTGGGTGCCAACATGATACCACACCTGAGCTCATATGATAGGCTGCATCAAAATGCAGGTGGCACTAAAAATACTGTACCTTTGTCTTTGTGGATAAGCTGTGCTCGGAACATAAATGGATTTCCTGTTTAGACTTGGATCTCATCCCTAACACATCTCACCGGGTATATGCAAATATTCTAAAATCTGAAACACTTCTGGTTGCAAACATTCCATATAAGGGATATGACATACTCTAGTAATAGTAACAAAACCCCTGAAAATTGATTGGAGATGGTAGGAGAGAAGGGGGTGAGAAGAAGGGAGTATGTACGAGGCACACCCTGGGGCCAGATCAGACCACGGTTCACCTTGATGTGAACCAAGTGTCTTCTCTCAGTTCTGTCCCTCTCCATCTTTCCTGAGGGCTGTCAGACAGTTCTCCCACCCAGGGAAGCCCCATGCCCTCCTTCAGTGTGGCTGACCCTTTCTGTATTACCTGATGAGTCTCTCAAAAGCTTCCTTTTCTTTCCGCAATGCTGTGAGATAGCGTTGTTCTTCTGTTGAACCTCCATATATGAGAAAGTAAACCCTGCAAGTTGAGACAGAACTCTTTTAGGGTGCAAAAACATCATATTTAATCCCTGAAGGGAATAGCTGAGCATTTGAAATCAGAACCTAGAGTGCTCAAATGGTAAATATGTGACTAAGAATCAAGGTGCATTCAACACGAGCTCACTCAGGTGTAGCTGCTTTCTTCTTTTTTTGTCCTTTCTTTCACCAAAAGAAGGAACAGAGTTTAGGTAAATACTGAAATATAACTAGAGGGATAGAATAATTCTTTCCTCATAATTACAAACAAATTAAAAAAACACAAAATCTTAAGTCTTCTCTTCTTTCATTTTCTTCTTTGTTCTTCTGCCAGACAAACATTTAACAAGCTGGATAGCAGTTACAAAAACCAGCTTATGAAAGTTCAGGTCAGTGAAAAGAAAACAAATGGAATATATATGACCTTTATCTTTATAATAATTTCTCAATTCTTTTTTTATTCATGTCTTAGCAGAATGGAGCTGTTTAGGTACATGGACAGTTTAAGTACCTGGACAGAGAAGACATATGGATTTACATCAGGGATCTCAAATATAATTTCATCTATTTCCTCTTAAAAAAGGCCTGCTTTTCCATCCTGTTTGTGGCTAAGGGCTGAAGTAAGCACCTCCACAGTATCTTTCCTTTACCTTCTATCGGTCTTTTCCTTCTTTAGCCTTTGTCTTCCTAGATACATTTCTCTGACAAGTACACAGGGAAGAGATCGTGGGGAGATGGGCACAGACCCCTGGCTCTCCCACAGATGTGCCATGTGGCTGAGGACAAATCATTTCCCATTTCTGGGTCTCAGTTTCCTACTGACAGAGAAAGTGGCTGAACTCCCAGGTCCCTTCTGCTCCTGACATTTTCATTCCAAATAGAACACTATTCTGTTCTCTAGCAAGAAAGAAACTACCTGCAAAGCTGATCGATAGCAAAGTCTGAAGCCTGTAATTCTCTACCAGCTCCACTTAATCTCCTTATCGCTACACTGCTTCTGGTCCAGCTCCTCCATTCATCTCTGCTTTGAAAGGCTGCATTACTTAAACAGCTAGAAAGGTTTCTTTTGGCTCTGTGTTTGGTTCAGACTGAGTTCAGGATATTAATTTTGCTGTTTATTTCCCCTCAGATACTTGGAGAGCGAGAACACCATATTCTTTGGGAGGCATCATTTTCTCATCTGATATTTCGGTAGTTTTTTTTCATCTGACAGTTCTTGAAACTCAAGAAAACTTGGTGCAGTAATCCCCTCAAACACTTTAGCTTTATGTGGATGCAATTTAGAGTCGCTTGCTCAGATTTATAAGACAGACATTTTCGAAGATTAAAATTACGTAGCCAAGTCATAATTATATTAACTTTTGGTAGATCTTACGAATGTTCTACACGTTCTAGACTTTTGCAGATACCGCACCCCGTGAGCTGCAAACTAACTCATGAAGAATACTGTCAGAACCGAGGGTGGCGAGGGAGGGCGCACGAGTGGCCGGGTTGCGGTTCTGTTGCTTCAGCACCCATCTGTGCACAGGCCCCCCAGAACCGCGGGTAAGGAAGCAGCGGGGACTTGCCTCAGCGGCCTGCCAGGCCTGCTCGCCCGGTGGATCTCCAGCTGGCGCACGAAGGCCAGCTCGGCGTCGTACAGCACCACGTACCGCGGCTCCACCTCGTGCAGCACCCGGCTCAGCGCGTACGGGTCGCCGCAGCCCAGCAGCGGGTGGAGGACGGTCAGCGGCTCCTGCAGGAGCCCCAGGGCGGCGTCCGGGGCCGGCGTGGCGTCCAGCTCCTCCAGCCTGACTTCCTCCTCGCAGCCTTCCGGGCTGCTGCTCATTGCTCGCCGACGCCTGTCCTCGACGTCCCCCTCCTCTTCCCCTTCCTCAGGCTTCCCCATCATTTGAGTGAGGGTTAGCCTTCGCTTCTTCCTTTTGACACCCCTGTCCTTGTCCTTGGCGGAAGCCCGCTCTTTGTTTGGGGGTTTTCTGGGTCTCCTGCTGGACCTCGCGGCTGTCTTCGCACCGTCCTCCTTCCTGAACTTCGCCCACACTTCCTCTGCCTTGCCGTCCTTCGGGAAGGTCTTCCTGTAGAGCCGCAGCAGGAAGGCCCTGGCCCCCGCCGTCAGGTAGTCTCTCAGCTGCGAGCAGGTGCGCTCGTCGCTGGCACAGATGAGTACCCGACCTGCAACGACAGCACCCTGTGTCCCTCTGGCTCTGCTTGTCCCTGGGGCCCCCGCACCCCCGCACCTCTGCCTCCAAGGGAACACCACCTCTCACCAACCCTGCTAAAGACCCAGAGCGTACAGATTGCTTTAAAAGGGTCTGAGCGCTAAGCATAGGTTCCTCCTCCCTGGCAGATTTAAATCTTTTCAGTGAAGTTGAAGCCAGAACTATCCAGTCTTATGAAAGTATAGCTACGGTATAATGGGGGATTTAACGAAGCTCTTTTTAATTAAGAATTTTTCAGAGGAGTTTATACACCAAGATAAATTCCAAATGGATTGTAGAATCAAATGTTAAATATTAAAATCATGAAAAAGAACTCTTCAGATGGAGGTAATTTCTCTAGACTTCAAAGCAATAGGAGAAATCTCAGAGATTACATCTAAAGACTGACTCTAAAGAATAAAAATTGCATTAAATTCTTTATTTAACAGCTGTGATAAATATTAACATCTTTACTGTATGAGGAGCTGATACAAACTGTGGACCAGGTCTATGTTGAACAAGGAGACTAAGAAAATTAACAAAAGGGGAAATGCATTTGAGAAAATATTGTGCTTACAAAGTATCAGAATTAAAGCAATTTCTTCTCCAACTGAATTAACAGACAGTAAAATATGAGTGTCAACACACAAATGCAGAAAATCTACCACTGAAAATTAAATAATTGAAAAAGAGAAGAACTCTTAGGCTGCTAAAAGAAATGAAAATTGAAGAAAACTTTATGAAAAACCAGGACTGGGGCTATGGCTTCAGTGGTAAAGCACTTGGCTCAAGACCCTGAGTTCAAACCCCAGTACTGACAAAAGGAGAAAAAAAATGAGTGAGCTAATATGTCTTGAGAGCTTTAAAAATGTTAATATCATTTTAAAATATCATTAATCATTTAATGATATGTAAATAATAATATCATTTAAGTCATTATTTACAATATGACTTTAACAATGTGACATGGAAACTACCTGAAAGAAAACCTAGAAGGAGATATACTGACATTAACAATGTTAACATAGCTGCTAGAGGAAATCTCTCCCCTCACCCACCGCCCCGGCCTTAAAAAAAAAAAAATCCTTTTCACTTTTTCTACATTGAGCATCTATATATAACTCTGGGTCTTAAACCACAGCACCATAAGTTCTGAGATAGCATCATTAAGACATTTACTAATATAAGGACTGAGTGCTTACCTTTACTGCTTTGCAGGAATGCAAAGACTCAATAGGACTTTTTTTTTTTTTTTTTGGTGGTATTGGGGTTTCAATAGGTTTGTTTGTTTGTTTATTTATTTCTTATGGCAGTACTGGGGTTTGAACTTAGGGCCCCGTCAAGCATTCTACCACTTGAGCCACTCCCCCAGCCCCAGTCCTATTTTTTTGGTGATGGGTTTTTTTCCAGAATTGGGTCTTGAGAACTATTTTCCCAGGCTGGCTTCTAACTGCTATCCTCCTGATTTCTGCCTCCTGAGTAGCTAGGATTACAGGCATGAGCCACCAGTGCCCGGCTCAATTGGTATTTTTAAAAATATTTTTCTATCTGGGTTTACTTATAAATTTACAGTTCAGGTTTAGCTTTCTGTGCTAATCTACTAGAATTACCCATGTTTGAAGAGAACAGGTCTAAAATTTGGATTTTTCTTCTAGGGGTAGGTCAATGTCACTCCACAGGAGAGTAGTCACATGAAATGAATGGAGTTGAGGTCTCCATGTTCATCATACATTTATTCCACTGTGTGTTATATACAAAGTAATGAGTTACTTTTTAAGGGTTCAAATTAAGACTCAACTGAAAGATTCTGAAACCAATGTCCTACCTGGGCCTCCCAGGGCTTCGCTCTCCTTATTCTCAGCCTCGATCTCTCTCAGCACTTCGGTCAGTGCTTCCCACTTTGGGTTGCTTTCCAGGACCAGTTCCCTTCTTGTTTCTGTGTAGAAATAAAAGAACCTCCCTCTTTCTATGTGATGACAGTTGTTATCCAAAAGGCTCTTAGTACAACAGAAACCACCAGTGTCATGCCATAAGGCCAGTTCTTCCTAATAGAATCTACTTTCCTGAAAAAGGACTACTTCTGGTGCCTCAAACCAACTCTCACACAGCTCATGTGATACTGTGGTTAAGCAGCTCTGCAAAGTGACGAGTCAGTACTGAGTGACAATACTTATTTCAAAATCCTCATGATTTTCATAATCCTGAACAGGGATAAAAGTAGACTGCAATCAAACTTTGAGATAGACCTTTAATTAAACTAGGCAGAAAGCAAGTATTAACCATACCTTTAAAAATATTTGGTATCTATTAGATAGGTATTTGACTAAAATCCATCATTGTCTCATTCGATTATATTTACATTCTTAAAGGTTAAAAGGAATGTTAAAATGTTTCCCTAGGACTTTAAGTGCCCCAAATAGTAATGCCTTTGAAGTTTTAAAGAAAAATCAATTTATATTCTTATGTAGCAGTAAGAATACACTTGATTGATATCTGGCCTTTGTAATTTGGAATCTTCTCCCAATGGATTCCAAACCTGCCATGCTGAATACTTTTAACATAGATTGCATAAGCAATATATACATACACATGTACATTTAACATGTGGCTGAAAGAGATTTTAAATGACACTTGAACTTAACAAGTGTTTCCACACTGAATACTTAAAGACACATGGAAAGACTTAAGCCTATGAGATACCTTGCCCTTCTTTATTCTCCGTTTTTTCAGACATTTTGCCTTTTTTGCTCACTTTGGCATCTGGAATATGATAAACCCTTGCTCGGGCATTTACAAACATTGAAGTACTGGAGTCAAGAAATAGCCAACCTGATATAAACAGAAGGGAAAAAAGGCTTCAGTTAATGGTTAATTGTGAAACAGTCTCAGAAAGCACCTGACCTACATACACAGCAGGACACCATCTTGTTCACTACCAACCACACCTCACCTCCTTTTACTGTTGTGGCCTCTGCCACCATTTGGCTAGACCAGTGGTTTTCAAAGTGTGGCCTAGACTTCTCGGGGTTTTCAGGGAGTGTGTGATGTCAAGATTTTTCTCACAATATTGTTAAGACATTATTTGACTTTTTTCACTATGTTGACATTTCCAATATGGTGCAAAAGTGCTATGGTAGTTAGCACCACAAAATGCCTTTGCATAAACAAAGGCAGCCATATGAAAATGCACTAGCAATCAAAGTATTCTCTATTGTAATGTGTTTATAATTCATTACTTAAGAATGTTCCTGAGGAGGCGGAAAAAAATTACTAACTGTATTAAATCGTGCCTAGAAGCCAAGGCTCCTGTGTAATGGGGAAGGGTACTGTTGGTAGGAAAAAAAAATGGTCGCCAGTTGTATGTGTATGTTATCCTGAAAATCTTTTCAGTCTTCAGCACTCTAGCTGATAAAACCCATCCCTTACTGTCTCTTCAGGGAAATGAATTTCAAGTTCCTAACAACTAAACTTCTAGAGCACATACAACCTATTTCTAAGTTGAAGACTGTCTGTACTATACACAGTCTTTTCTTGAAATAAAATTGCCTGGAATGGATATGAATATTTATCATTATACAGAACAGAAGTTAAGTAGGCGGAAACATTAGCTATCAATAAAACCTACATCCTTGAGCAATGAACATAAATGTAACTTGAGATCTTAGTATATAACATGTAGCTGAATATAGCACTCCCCATACCTTATTCCCTCCCAAATCTAACACTTTATTCAAATCAGCTCCTAGAATGTATTAGTATTTTTATCTCACACCTGAATTCTGACCAAAAGCCTTTTCTGTTGCTCTCAGAGATTCCAGAAGATTCAGAAATGTGACACAATCATACTGGGAGAGGTACTGCAGCAAAGTTCGTAATATCTTCAAATCCTGAACCAAGGATTTAGTCTTGGCTCCAAGCTGGTGCCACATGGGATCCAGATAATGGCGGATTGTCTAAAATGAGAATAAAATTTAGTACTGCTAAGATACGTTCAGTAGAGCTGTTCTTAACACAAAATTTACTTTCAATAAAGACTATTCCCTGTATATCTAAAAATGGCTAAAATGGTAAATTTTGGGGTATGCCTATTTTATCACAATAACATTTCCAAATGGTATTCTGCAAGTAAGTGGATAGAAAACTGAAGTTCATTAAATTCTAATAATGATGTTTAATTTTTGAAATAGTGTCATTACTACAATCTTTACTAAGATGGAGTCAATCTGTATACATGTTTACATTACTGACAGGAGAGAAAAGCTTGATTACTTGTTTCTAAGCATACAGGCAGTGTCACTGCGTAGCATCTCATTTAGCAAATTTAATACTGAGCAGAAGCAGTATTTGGATGACCACGGAATTTATTGTCCAAACAGAGACATTTGTAAAAATGAAATGAGATGCCATAAATGGTCACTCCAGGACAAGGTAGAGACTGGGATGATCTTAGACAAACTAGGACATACAACTACATGCTTCTTTTGTAAAAAGAACTGTAAAAGGATAATTTTTTAAACAAGATGCAAACTATGTCTATATTTAGGTGCAACTACTAATTACTGAAAGAATATAGAATATCTAAACAATGATTTGATTCTTACTAGCCCAGGGATGATGCACAGAAATCTAGTGTAAAATATTGCAGGCTACATTTTTTTCTAGGGACATATGTATTCCACTAAGAGAATGTAAAGGTTTTTGTCGTTGTTGTTTAATTTCCACACACTAAATTATAACACACTTTAAGATGGAGGAACAGAATATGTGAAATTTGTTTTCATAATAATATTTCACAGTAAACTGACTTTTTGAAAGAACCAAAAAAAATGAGAATTCTTCTTCTTTCATTGTACTCACCATACATTATTTACAGTTCCACAGAAAATGATTCAGAGTTTAAAAGATAGCCACAAGTTCCACCAACAAAAATAAAGCTATTTGGAATTTTAAAAATTTAGCATTTTTTGAATTTATAATTCATATAGGATTAGAGGTTCATATACTGTATTAATATTAGTCTATAATAAAAAATTAGGATAAAAATTCCTTGAACTGAAGTCTCACCATTTCTCAATTCAGAATGTAATTTTAAGACAGAGCAAGTTTCACATTTCTCAGCAATGAAAACTCATCCATGTTATTTTTTATCCCAAAAAGATCGTAAATTCATGCACAATTATGACATTCTTATGTAAAACTCTTCTACCTGTAGATATCCAAATGTCACCTCAGAGCAAAAATGTTATTTATCCTCCTCTTGATTACATTTAAAATAAGAGATGGTTTACTACACAAGTGCAAAATCACACTTATGCTTCTGTGCCAAGCCACAAATCTCCCGTCTCCCTGCAAGTCACTACTTTCCAGTAAACAAAAGCAGCTATACTCTAAATCACCTCCAGTTTAACTCGAAACTCACAGCAAATTCCTACTAACAACATTGCAATATTAACATAAGTTGCATTCTGTAAAATTACAGTACAGCAAACTGTGCTTTAAAGAAAAGAGTACCTTGTCAAAAGGTTTCCCAATAGCGTTTTCTAAAGATAGGTCTTCCACTTCCAGGGACGGGTTATGGCATTTCAGTTCCTTTAGGCAGGCATTTAAAATGTCCAGTATCGAGGTCTGGATGGTGAGCATGGCAGGGGTCATGGAAACGTGAATTTCTACTACTTCAGGTTTGTGCTGTTCTAAAAATGAGTGGACTGCTACGTGGAACCTAAGGAGGCAAATGGTTTTCTGGTCTCAGTTTAATGCTCTAAGGGTTTCTGAAATGCAGTTAGGGAACAAACAAGATGGCAAGCAAAATGACAGAGTTTTTAAGAATATTTTGGACCTCCACGAATAGAAGCATCATTCAAAAAGGGGCTGGGTCAGCAAACTACTGTCTGGTCAAATGCAGAGATTTTACAGACCATGGAGCACAGCAACGCCCGCTGCTTTCGTATTGTCTTTGCTGCTTTTGTGTTCACAGCAGAGCTCAGCGATTCTGCCAGAACACAGACTGCAAAGCCCAAAATATTTACTATCTGGTCGCTTACAGGAGGTTTGCTGCCCTTCCTCCGAAATAATGTATAATCTGAGGAGGAAAACACTACTGCAAGTACCAGTCTTGAAAGAACCTAAAGTATTTATTGTCGTATCAAAACATACAGTAGCAAAAAAGAAAATTAAAACTTTGTTTCTTCTTAGAAATTAATACAAATTCTTCATAGTCCCAGATGAATAATATTCAAAGCTTAAGTGGTGATCTTGCCCAATTAATCTGCAGTTCACACAAAACTGTTTCATATTTGGGCCTCTAGATTCCTGGGGGTTTCACCAAACATAAGGAGTGACACTTCTGTCCCTAGATGGAATTGAGGGGCTACCAGAAAAATAACTCGAATCTCTACTTTCAAAGAATCACAAATGTGGTGACTCCCCTATTTACATTTGGATGTGTTTATCATGAACCCAATGGGCATCTCTCAAGTGCACATGTGCTCAATTTTACATTTGAGTGCAGCATTTCCTCTCACAAAAATGTGTCACCTGATGACATTTACCTTGGCCAAAGATACAGCTTCCTCACAAAAAGATTTCTCATCACTCTTTCCACATGACAAAAACCAGTATCAAAGGCAACAGCGTTATCTGTGAAAGCTTTAATAAAACCACGTTTGTTTTTCTGGCGGAAGAGGCGTAGGATGAAGGCTTCTTGACAAGACTCGATTGTTCTGTGGGCTCTGTACACCAGGATGCCTGAGGGAGAGTAAGAAGTTCAGTGACAGGACAGACAGTTGATTTTCACTCTCACCTTTGCTCACTCAGTCACTAGTTGTTTATTCTTCTGGAATGCCTGCTTGAGAAGTACAAGCACCAAGATGGGCTGAAGACACAGCTACAAATAAACAGATACCGACTCTTGCCCTTGTGGAACTTGCAGTAAACAATGTAAGTAAGGAAAATATTTACTATGTCACAAGTACTACAGAGAAAAAAATGAACCCGAGAAGGACAGGGACTACATATGTTAGGCGGCGGTTTCAGTGCAGTGACACCCACTTAAAGGAAGGATGGAGAAGAGGAAGGAAGCCTTGTGAGCCACCTGGGCCGAGGGAACAGCACAGCAGGTCATTAGTCCTCCTCTTAAATCTGAATCAGAGGAGGACCACACAAAAGAGCTGTATGTCAGAAGTCTGGGCAACATCTGCATTACCTGTTAGATTAATTTTCAGAATCAGGATATACTCACTCGAGAGGTAAATGAGTCCATTTAAAATAGAATGGGCATGGTGATACACATCTGTAACCCCAGCTTAGGCAGAAGGATCAAAAGTTCAAGGTCAGCCTGGGTCCTGAGACCTTGTTCCCGTAAAAAAAAGAAACGACCCTTCTTACTCCCCCAAAAAACCCTTTAGTAAATATACTTAATGCATGGTTTGGGGGCTGTGTGTGTGCTTATGGCACTTCTGAATCTCAAAAACAAGGACAACTACATGTTCTTGTAAAATGAGACCCATTTTGATGCAGTGTAATCAGTGATAAGGTAGGGAGAAAAGAGAGGATGCTAGGGTGTTAGACATCATTTTGGGATCAAAAATTCAATTATTCTATGACAATTCTCAGAGTTTTTGACCTAAGTCAAGCTGGTGACCATATACATATATTTATGAGCCCTTCTCATAGTTTAATAAACTCAATTCAGAGATTACAGCTCACGCCTGTAATCCTAGCTACTTGGAGGCAGAGATCAGGAGGATTGAGGTTCAAAGTCAGCCCAGGAAAACAGTTCGCAGACCCTATCTCAAAGAAACCATCACAAAAAGGGCTGGTGGAGTGGCTCAAGGTGTAGGCCCTGAGTTCAAACCCCAGTACAGTACAAAACAAAAATGAAAACAAAAAAAACCCCAAACTCAATTCAGATCCTGCTTCTATATTCTGTCTTAAATTTTGCATCAAGGTGGACAGAACTAAAATTTACTCCAGCTAATCAAATTGTTTTTCAAATATAGTAAAAATTTAGAAATTTACAGACAAAGGATTTTTCACCAACTGCCAACACACATGCATACTAACTTACTACTCAGAAAATATTCTGTATCTGGTGGGTGAGTCTTCCAACAGCTCTATGAATGGGCCACACTTTGTTAGCCTGGGTTTAAATTATTACGTAACATTAAAAATAATGAAACTGGCATTTTAAAGAGAAGGTGATGCTCACATGAGGAAGATGTGGTTCAAAAGGATACCATGTTCTTAGAACCCAGAATGGAGGAGGAGTGACCTACCACTCCAAGCACGTGTTTAGGTTTTTCCATAGATTTTTATTTTATTCACTCCCAATATTAATTCTATGTAGTAGATATTATGAGACCAAGAAAGGGAAGCAACTTTTAAAAATTATCACATTACTGTTCTACTGGGCATACGCTGTGACATTTACAAAATGTTCTTACAGCATATCATAGTTGAATTCACCCCCTCCATCGTTCTCCTTTTTCCCCTCCCCCCATTCCTGGAATAGTTTCAACAGGTCTCATTTTTCCTTTTTGATACACAAGCACGTAATATTTCCAGCACAGTCACCCTCCTACACGCTTTCCTTATATCCTCCCCCTCCCACTGGTACCAATCCCCAGACAGGACCTGTTTTATCTTCTTTTCTCTGCTTTTGAAAAAAAGACATTTTTGTTTTTTTAGGATAGCTATACAGGGAGTTTCCTTGTGACATTTCCATGTACATATGTATTATAACCCGAATTGGTTCATTTCTTCTATTTTCTTCTTTCTACCTTAGTCCCCTTCTTATGGTGATTTCAACAGGTTTAAATTCTATAGTAAGTCTTGTGTAGGAAGTATCTTAACCATATTCACCTTCTTTTTTTTTTTCATTTTTCTTTTATTATTCATATGTGCATACAAGGCTTGGTTCATTTCTCCCCCCTGCCCCCACCCCCTCCGCCCCCTCCCTCTCCACCCCCCTCAATACCCAGCAGAAACTATTTTGCCCTTATCTCTAATTTTGTTGTAGAGAGAGTATCAGCAATAATAGGAAGGAACAAGGGTTTTTGCTGGTTGAGATAAGGATAGCTATACAGGGCATTGACTCACATTGATTTCCTGTGCATGGGTGTTACCTTCTAGGTTAATTCTTTTTGATCTAACCTTTTCTCTAGTACCTGGTCCCCTTTTCCTATTGGCCTCAGTTGCTTTAAGGTATCTGCGTTAGTTTCTCTGTGTTAAGGGCAACAAATGCTAGCTAGTTTTTTAGGTGTCTTACCTATCCTCACCCCTCCCTTGTGTGCTCTCGCTTTTATCATGTGCTCATAGTCCAATCCCCTTGTTGTGTTTGCCCTTGATCTAATGTCCACATATGAGGGAGAACATACGATTTTTGGTTTTTTGAGCCAGGCTAACCTCACTCAGAATGATGTTCTCCAATTCCATCCATTTATCAGCGACTGATAACATTTCGTTCTTCTTCATGGCTGCATAAAATTCCATTGTGTATAGATACCACATTTTCTTAATCCATTCGTCAGTGCTGGGGCATCTTGGCTGTTTCCATAACTTGGCTATTGCCATATTCACCTTCTTAACTTCCTTCTTTTGCCCTCCCTCTCCTGTATGTGACCTCCCTCTAGTGTGACCTGTTTTTCACAATATTGTTTTTATTTGTATTGTGTCTATCTCCCACATATGAGAGAAAACATGCAGCTTTTGTCTTTCTGAGGCTGGCTTACTTCACTCAACATGATGTCCTCCAATTGCATCCATTTACCTTCAAACCACGTGGTTTCATTCTTCCTCATAGCTGCACAGAACTCTATTTTGTGTGTGTGTGTATACACATACCATATTTTCTTAACTCATTCATCAGTTGTAAGGGAAGCAACTTGACTAAGGTCATCCAGCAAGCAAGTGGGAGGCTAGGGGTTAGGCTGGGGTTAGAGACTGCAAATCATGTGCGGCGTCACATTCTTTTTAGGCCACCTCAGGACTGTCATTTAACCTCAGCAGGTTAGGTTTCATGGAATAATTTTATTCCAAAAGAGCCTGCTTAAATTCTTATGCCGCTATGATGTTCTATACCTTGCTCTGTACTGTATCACTTCACTGTGCACCTATCTCCTGCAGTGAACTGCCTGAGGACACAAACATTGTCACACACCAGGGAATGATCACAGAATGCTCATTGTGTGTATAAATTTCATTTCATCCTTATAATATTCCATGGGTGGAAACTGCCTTTACTCTCTTCCATTTACAGGCAGAAAACAGGCACGGAGGAGTTAAGAAACTTCCTAGAGGGCACACAGCTGGTGCAGGGGCAGGGCAAGCTCCACCCCAGACCATCTAACTCAAGAGCTCACCACCATCTTTGGCACCCATCCTGCCAAACAAGCAACCCTTAGAAAGTTAAGTGTGTGTTGAGTCAATATAGAGCTGTTCTAGCAACTCAGTACACAAAACTAATTTGTAACTAACTTTCTTATAAAAATTTCCCTGAGTGTGTTCTGAACTCTATCTGGAAATATCAGGGTCAGCATTAGCAAAGACTGCTGTTGTTCTGTCTCACTGCTTTCAGAAGTATAATCTGGGTAGATATTTGCAGTTCTCCCTCTGCTTGGGAGTTCTACTTGCAGGGGCACCTAGGCAAGGGTGCAGAGGGAATGAGTGACTAACAACCACAATGTAATAGTGGTAATACGGGAACAAGTTAGTACTTTCCAGAGGGTCACACACACAAGACTGCACTTTGGGGAGAGTTCTTATGGGGGCTCTGGGGGTGGCTAAGGAGGATGAAGAACTTGGGAGATTTCATTTCTGGCATTTATGTGCATCCCACTCAACCACAAAGCAGTAGCAGGTCCACTCTCTTTGCTGGATCAGAAACACGGATTGCCACCTGTAAGTTAAACTTGGACTGCCCTCTGCCCAATTAGGGTGCACTGTAACTAAAAGTCGCAGTGTATTACTGACACCTAGTGGTAGTTTTGAGACTTATTTTCCATTTTAGCTACTTAAAAATATATAGAAAACCTAAACCAAGCTTACAAGAAAGCAGTGAACACTAAACAGACTTTACGATGCATCCAGATTTCTGGTTGCAAAAAGCCATTTTTTGGCTATTCTTTATTAAACGTTTTCTATTTACTCAGCATTGTAGTAAGCATTTGACTTTTTCTCATTTAATCCTTATAATTCTAAAAGGCACAATTTTCCTGATTTAAGATTGAGAAAACTGAGGCTCATGAAAATGAAGGAACCTACAAGAAGGGCGTTGGTATTCAGCGTCAGGAGAGTCTGGCTGCAAGACCGTGCCACCATTTCCAATGGTTATAGATATTAGAAAAGATAAGAAAACTTTCCCTCACCCAGCTCACCACCTAGTCATTAAATACTTCTTTAGGGTCTTCTAGGTTCAGGGCAATATGACAGATACAACAGGAAGTATGCCTATGGGTTTCATGGTTTTTCTGCCCTCCAGAAGTTCACTGCATGTTCACCAGCATTCATTCAACCATGACATGTTTACTCTCTGTCTTGTACCAGGGGTTTGGCTCAGGAGGAACCAGTCCTTCCTGGGCTTAAGCAGCTTATTCATGAATGGGACAGACATCAGGCAAATATAACATAGTGCTTGCAGAGCAATCACTGGGGAGAAGTAAAGAAGGGGGTAATCTCAGGGAGCAGAGGCAGGGCCCTCAATTAGGTTTGGGGAAACCAGTGAAGGTTTCTGAAAGGACAAGCAATAATGAAAATGGGCTCCTTCTCTATATTAATTATAGCAAAAATTGAACCTTTTTTTAAAAAAGATAATTAAGCAATGACACCATTCAATTTCAAATCATGGGAACATTTTCTTATAAAGAGGAAAAGTGAATGTTTTTGGAAATCCACAAAGGTCGTTTTTAAACATTTCAAACCCGTAAGTGCTAAAAGCGAATGGCGGACAACTATAAGCATTTACCAAGTATAAGCCTAGAAAACAAGAAAAGGTGATCCTACACATAGTCATGCACAGTCAGTCGGCGACATGCCACGGTATATGTTGGTCCCATGAGATTATAACGGAGCTGAGAACCACTCATGTCCTAGCGGCTGTTGTAACATTACTCATGCAACCCATTACTCACCTATTCTTGGGATGCTGGCGTTAACACACCTACTGTGCTATATGAAAGTATAGCAATTCAACTGCGCACAGTACGTAACACCTCATGATAATAAACTGACTATGTACTGGTTCGTGCATTTACTATACTGTACTTTTTATCCTTATTTTACATATTTTTTGGTGGTACTGGGGTTTGAACTCAGTGCCTTATGGTTGTAAGGCAGATGCTCTATCGCTTGAGCCATTCCTCTAGCCCTTTGTGCTGTGGTTATTTTGGAGACGGGGTCTCGCTTTTTGCCCAGGCCAGCCTGGACCATGATTCTCCTAGATTAAGCTTCCTGCCATCTGGGATGACAGGTGCTCCACCAGCCTAGCTTTTTTCTATTGAGACAGGGTCTCACAAACTTTCTTGCCTGGGCTGGCCTTGCACCATGATCCTCTGCATCTTGGCCTCCCAAGTAGCTAGAATTACAGGTGTGAGAAACCAGTGCCTGGCTATTCTCACTTCAGACTATATTCCTCTGCTTATAAAAAAGTTTACTGTAGAACAGTGTGCTAACACAGGCAGCAGCCTCATACATCTCATGTTTACTCTGTCTCTTGATGGCTTCAAGAGGCCACATGTCATTGACCTACAATATTCAGGTTTGTGTAAGTTACTCTATAATGTTCACAAGGCAGTTCTCAGGACACACTACTATCAGTATCACTCTCATTAAGTGATACATGACACCTCAGTTACTTATTTAGGTCACAGACGTTTACTGAGCATTTATAATGTGACAGGTATGGTGCCAACAGCCGAAAGCACAACGCTGAACCAAAAGATCCAGGGATGCCCACAAGAAGGTTCTAGTTTATAGAGTTTAGCAGAGGAGAGAGATAAAAATAAAAATGTGCACATTTATATGCAAGGAATGACAAGACTTCAAATTCTTACCAGTTATTAAATCTGAAGGTATTCTGTCAGTCAAGAAGTCAACCACAAGTATTCGACTTGTTGCAAATATAACACCACCTTGTGTGTAAACCTCATAGCGACTGTTACTTGGGATTTCATTTGTCACACGGCGAGGGAGGTGTTCGACTCCATCTATCTTCAGTTGATTGATAAAATACTCCTAAATCAAACCAAACTCATTAGCAGGCTGTTTTAATTCAGGCCAGTTTTTGATAGGCTGCAGGTACTTAAAGTGAAGTACTGCCTTTCTCAAGAGATAACTTAATAATGACCACACCAACCATTCCGCATTTAACTAGGGTATTTGCTTGGTTTTGTTTTAGGATTTACACTAAGTATAATTATGCTTCAGTCATCATTAGCACTTTAACAACAAAAACAAAAACCTTTTTTAAGATTCTGAGTTAAAAGACTTCTACCTAGAAACTACTTCTCACAAACCAGGCTTGCACCCACGCATCATTCTCAGTGAGAAGTTAAATAATAAGGAACTCCTTTTCCCAAACAGTGTTTGAAACTTCATTTTGTCCCAAACCATCAAAGAGGGACTTCTGAAATGCAACAGGTCTCGTGGCTCATTAGCTTCCAGTTCAGCAGTGCTTACATTGGATACCATGTGTTGCATGAGGCCCTGTGACAAACATTGGGGATACCTAGAAGAATCAGATAGAGTCCCACCCTCCAGAAGTCTGTGGTCACTCTTGATGTTTTCCTCAAGCAAACGTCTGTTCCACCTAGGGAATCATCAGATTTGTCAGGCCTGACTGTGTCCCCTCTCACCACACCCAAGCACAGGCATATCCCATTCCATCTTCCCCAAGGTTACCTGTTTTCCTTAACTGCTATGTTAACCCGCCCCATATCTTAGGATGCCAGCTCCTTTCCTTTCTTGACCCCATTCCCTCAGTCCCTGTAGGTTTTCCCTACAGGGTCCACAGCCTCAGCTTCTCCTTTCCATCATGCCCCATCATCCCCATTCCATCATTGTTCCCCTTTAGGGATCCTACTCTTCTGTTCCCCCAAACACCGTTAATATCCAGCCCTGGGACTCCCCCATTATTTTTATTGATTCCCCTTTACACATCTCTCCATTCCTTGCAGGGAAATTCAGTTTTCCCCCACTTCCACCTCAAATCACTCCACTTGTTTCCCCCAGAGCTCCTTCCTCTTTTAGTCCTCATGCAGGGTCCTGGACCTGACTCCTCTGGGGACCGCTCCCATCCTTGTCTGTGTCCTTGCAGTGTCAGGGACCTATGTCCCTCCAGGGGCCACTCTCATCCTTGTCAGTGTCCTTCCGGGGACCCCTTCCATCCACTGTCAGTGTCCTCGCAGTGTCAGGGACCTGTGTCCCCCCGGGGACCCCCTCCATCCCTGACACTGTCCACGCAGGTTCAGGGACCTATGCCCTCTCCCCGGGGGACCCTTCCCATTCCCAGTGTCCTCGCGCAGCGTCCGGGACCTGTATCCCCCTAGAAGTCCCCCATTCAATGCCTCCCCTCTCCTCGGAGCCCCTCAGTCCGCGTCTCAGGCCTCGAAGTCGCGCCAGGGCCTGCGTCCGCTCGGGAGCCCCCCATCTTTCCCTCGGGGTTCCCCAGTCCCGCCGCACCTCCTCGGCCGGTTGCGTGTTGAGCACCAGCACCAGGCAGGCCGGGTGGCAGTGCAGCCGGAGGAAATGGTAGAGGAGCCGGTCGGCGCCGAGGCCGCGGGCGCACACGACCAGTCCATCTGTGTCCAGTAGTTCCAGCACCAGCTGTCTCTCGTACTCCAGCAGCGGCGCCATAGCCATCCGTTGGACCGGCAATCCCGGCTCCATTGGCGCCCTTCCGGGGCCGCGGCCGAGCGCAGGCGGAAAGAACCGAATACAGACGAGCTCAGGCCGAACGTAGCCGAAGAGAGCCGAGCCTGAGAGGACGAACGCGGGCAGAACGTAGCTGAAGAGAGCCGAGGCCGGGATAAGAGCCGGACGAAGGTCGCCGAAGACAGCCTAGTCGAAGGCGAGCGTAGGACGAATTTAGACGAATAAAGCCGAATTCATGTCGACCGTAGGACGAATTTAGACGAAGAGAGCCGAGTATGAGCGGAGACGAGTCAGCCGAATGTAGCCGAAGAGCCGAGGCTGAGACGAGAGCCACCCGAGGGAAGTCGAAAGGAATCGAAGATTCAGGAGGAGTTACAGCTCGGTCCTGTTGGAGTATCGGGGCTTCAGGCTCCTTCCCTTGGTGTTTAGACCTGGAACATGAGCTACCAAAAAAGCAAGGAGAGGAGGAGGAATCCTAAGGAGAGCTTAATCTTTCAACATAGAAAGTTGAAAGAGTTAATAGCCAGTATTCCAAGTACGCCTAGTATTAATAGCACCTTTTCCCAGGGTGAGTGTTGGCTTTTACTTTTGCAATTAATTCCCTTGCCCCTTTAAAAATTCTTAAATAAGCAGAATAGTTTACGGATTTCTGTCTCTTGTTTGCTTCGCAAGGCCTTGAATACGAGAAGCCTTTCAAAAGTCATAAGCCGTCCGCGCAGCACCCTCCACTAGAGGGCGACATTGGGTCGCATTTGTTTCCTACGGAGACGTAAATACCAGAAAGGGAAGTAGGGGAGTTCTGTATGGAAACCCCTACTCCACTTCATTGTTAGAAAATACAAAGCACAGGTAAGCGAAAGTAAAAACCAGAGAGTGATTACTACTGAAACGCATCACTTCTGTGTAGGAACAATACTCAGTGAAACGCACTGAGCACTTGAACAACGCAGGGTAGGGAGAAAGGCTAAGGAAGAGTAATAAAGGGGATTTGATTGAGTAAAGTACAATATACTTACAGGTAAAATACCAAGGCAAAACCGCTCTGAACAACGAACAGACACTTAAGCAATGAAGGACCAGATGTAGACTAGGTCATTCATGTTTTTGTTGTTGCTTTTGTGCTGGGTGGGGATACATTGTGGCATTTAGAAAAATTCTTACTTGAATTCACTTTCTCCACCATTCTGCTTCATCCCCCCATTCCTGGAACAGTTTCAACAGGTCTCACTTTGCCATTTGCACACACGTGTACACAGCATTTGCACATATTCACCCTCCTACACCCTTTCCCCACATCCTCCCCCTTCCCAGTGGTGCCCCCCACCCCAGGCAGGACCTGTTCCGTCCTCCTGTTCTCAGACTTTGTATAAGAAAAGAAGAAGAAGAAGAAGAAGAAGAAGAAGAAGAAGAAGAAGAAGAAGAAGAAGAAGAAGAAGAAGAAGAAGAAGAAATCGCTGGGTTTTTTTGTTGTTTAAGATAGATATACAGGGAGTTTCCTTGCGGCACTTCCATGTTTGTATGCATTATAGTCGGATTTGTAGACCAGGTCATGTTAAGGGGAGAGGAATAGTGGGAGGGGGAGGGGAAACGAAGAGGGTAAAGGAAGGTGACTATGGTTGAAGTGCCGTCTACACATGTATGAATATGGAACACTGAAACCTGCTGAAGTCATTTCAAGAAGGGGAGTGGGGGAAGAAAAATAATGGAGGGGATGGACTAACTGAGGTACAATGTTTGTACACATGGAAATGTCACAACATAACTATCATATACTAATAAAAACTTTAAAAAAAAGGTAAAAGTCACTTGGTATTCCATTGCGTAGAAATAACCACCGTTAACATCGCGAACGCTGTACTTTTAGGGCTCCCCTCCCCCTCACACGTGCGCACACATAGTTCTTTTACCTTAATGAAATACTGAATACCCTCCTCTAGAACCTGAGTTTGTCGCTGATATCTGGGACCCCTGAACATGATAATAGTCTTTTATCAAGTGTTGTGTGTCGCTGTTGAAATTTCTACTTACTTACTTAATTTGTTATTGGTGGTCATTTACTTTATTTCTGTTCTCCCCCGATCCCAGCACTGCATATAGTATTCCACTAAACACTTTTGTACATAAATTCAAATTCATCCATACCCTTAAGACACGTTTCTGGAAATGGATAATTACTGGACTGAAGAGAAAACGCCTATAAAGTTTTCATTTCATTCTAGAAGTTTATATTCACATGGGCAGATTGTGAAAGAATCTGTTTCCTTGTATCATTGATGCTTCAGCCGGTATTTCGTTTACATTTGATCAGAATGAAAACAGCATGCAATAATTCCTGAGTTCTGCTTAAGTGGAAAGAGTTGTCTGCAGGTACTTTATCCATATCATCTCCTGTGAGAGACTTTTAACCTCTGCAGTTCTGCAAGTGAAAAACTAAAGGTCCAACAATGTATGCACATGTGAATAAATGAATAATAATAATAATAAAGGAGTAAATAATTAAAAAACCCAAAAACTAAAGGTCCAGGGAGGTTATGCAATTTGGGCAAGACACAGAGCTAATTATTGCCTTTCTTAGATTTGGTTATGGTAAATAGGGATTCAACACATACTTAAAAATATGTGTGTAAGTGGCAAGGCTGAAATTTAAACCCGATTTCCAACCTGTGGTAGGCAGAATAATTGTCCATATCCAAATCTCTGGAACCTGTATGTTATCTTCCATGGCAAGGGGAACTTTGTGGATGTGATTAAGTTGAGGTCTTAAGATGGAGAGATTCTTATACTATCCCCAGGGATATTATAAGGGAGAGAGGGAGGGAGGAGGGTCAATGCTAGAGGCCATGTGACAGGGGAAACTGAGGCCAGAATGCTGTGGATGGAGCCAGGAGTGAAGGAACTCAGCCTTTAAGAGCTGAAAAAAGTGAAAAAATGTGAGGCTTCCAGAAGGACCACCCCAGGGTCCCATTTTGGACTTTTCATCTGTAGAACTGGGAGATAATGAGTTTGTGTTGGCACTAAAACTTGTTACAGTAGCACTAAGAAATGAATACACACATGCCTTATTTCTATGACATGTCGCTCTGAAGATGAAGTCCGGTGATGATGAAAGCAAAACCAAAAGCTATGGGTGGGAATGTACAGTGAAGCAATTGTTTGGGAGGGTGATTGGTCAATATATATAGAAAACTGAAATGCCCAAATAGGTTCGTATACACAGGAAGAAATCCCCTGACCCCCAGGGACTGTCGATTGTGTCAGACACTATACCAAGTGCTGGGATTTCATCAGTGAGCAAAGCAGGCAAAATCTCTGCCTTTTATTCTGGTGGGGAGCTTGCATATGAGATGCTTATCCATCACCTCACTGTGCTAACTATTGTTTTCTCTTAGACATATCTCCTAATTGTCCAGTCACAGGGAACTAGTTAGACCTTTTCATGTATCTCTAGTAAGTGTACTGTCCTACTGCTGTTAACTGCTGAATGTGGAAAGATATTTAAATATGTGAAAAGCATTTGTACAGTAATGGATAGTATGGCTATGCTTGTCTATGATCACCACTAAACAAGTAGCTTTTCATGTGACTGCCTGGGAAGTTCTGGAATGAAGCAGAATCTCTTTAACAGAAGCAGTTGCCTCTGGGGAGTTAGAATAAGTGGCAACAAATCAAAAGGCTACATTTCAGTTTATTCCCCTCTGTTCTGTTTGATTTTCTTATCCTTGGGCTTTCTTGCTTTTGTTATAAAAATGAAAGGAAAAACTTCCCAGGTACTGTATAAATACTTCATCAGCACTAAGCAATATTACCTGTGAATTCTAGATTTAATATGTTTGTGGTAGGCAACAGTTAATGTCAAATGTTGGTGTCTGAGGAGGAAGACTTTGTAATTTTTAACAAATTGTGTCTGTACATTTTACTTTTTCTCAGTAAAAGTTTTCAACTTTTTCCCCCCTTTCCATTATTGTGATAATGATTCTTGAAACCTTTTTTTAACTTATCATTTCATAGTCTCTCTCTCTCTCTCTCTCTCTCTCTTTTCTCTCTCTCTCCTTACTCTCTTCTGAACATCAGAGATGAGAGCCATCCTTCTCTAGGCCACTTGGCACATTTATTTGGCCCATGAGGACACAGGACAGGCACTCTTCCTTTGGGCTTTGCCGTGAGGCTGGACATGAAATGAAACATCATTTTCTTCCTGCCCTGACTTAGAACCCAGCACACCTCAGTTAACCTCACCTTGACCATCACTGCCACTTCTCTGGGTAACTTCATTTCTCATCCCTTGGTATCCACGGGAGATTGGTTCCAGGACCTCTCACAGATAACATTGTAGGCAGATGCCTAAGTGAAGTCCTTTATGTGAAGTGGCACAGTATTTGCATAGAGCAACTTGTTCTGGGCAGAAGGTGTTGCAAGTGGAAATTTCCTAAGACATGAAGGAGCCCATTAAGGGCACAGATGCCTGGGTTTGCCTGCCCTTCTTGGGTCAGGTCACCACAGAGCTCTGTAGAATTTGCTGTGGTGATTTAAGGGCCCAGCTGAGGTGTGGGGTGAGACTGGCACAAGATGAGTGTTGGGCAATGAGGCTAGGATGCAACTTCATTTTTTGGACAGTACTAGGGTTTGAACTCAGGGTCTCAGCTTGTGAGGCAAGTGCTCTACCACTCGAGCCACACCCCCAGCCCTTTCTGCTTTAGTTATTTTTCAGATAGGGCCTGGGTCAGCCTTGGACCATAATCCTCCTACTTAAAACTCTTGCATAGCTGGAATTACAGGTGTATGCCACCAAGCCCAGCTTGTTTGTCGAGGTCGAGTTTCTATAACTTTTGCCTGGGTTGCCTTTGAACTACATTCCTCCCATCTCTATCTCCCACATAGCTGGGATTATAGACATGTGTCATGTGTCTGGCTAGAGATTTATTATAAGTAACTGTGTATGTATTCTCAGAAGCTAACAAATTCCAAGATCTGAGAGGTGGGTCCATAGACTGGAGACCCAGGAGAGGGTGCTGGTGCCA